ATGTGGTGGGAACCACCACCCCTGCATCTTTCAAGTCCCTGATGGTGGCAATAGTATTTTCAGTCCCTCCAGGGATGAGATAATGTTTTTGATTCATTGTTTTCTTTGGCAAAGGCAACTCTAACGGCTTCCACTCAGCCTTTCCAATCATAATAGCCCTCGCTCCACAAGTCAGGAACCAACGTGAGAATTCTGCCAACTTCTAAGAATATCTATCCCAATTATATATTCTGGGGCTGTGGAAATAACTACAAGATGAATTTAGGGATCCACTGGGCCTACTGTGAGTTGGACTCCATAAGCCCCTACTTTATTAACTGGAGGGCCACAATGTTTCTTGGGATCTCCCAGAATCAGCATCAGTTCATAACCAGTATATAACAGACCCCAGAAAGTCTGACCATTTCCTTTACCCCAGTTTAGAGTTAGCCTTGAAAAAGGCCATAGGTTCCTCTGGGAAGGACTGGAGAAAGGCTAACAGCAAAACTTTTAGGTGTTTTATCAAGGTCCTTCCATGGGGAACCTGGTCATCCCTTCATTCAAGGGGTTCTGGGTCTGCAAACTGGCTTAGTCTGGAAATTGGTTCATCGGCCAAGACTCCCTTTTGCCACAATCCAATGGCGCCTTTCTCTTGAGGTTTTTCTGCTTCTACAGATGAACAAAAATTCATAGGCTTCTTACCTATTTCATGCCTGAAAACACCATGGTTGATTAGCCGGCACCAAAGGTCCACCCCAGTCATACCACAGTACAATTCTCCTTGCCTGTGTGATGATTACATGTTAGGCCGTTATGAACATTGTTTTGTCTATGCTGCCCATTATGATCACCTTGTCTTTGGCGACTCAGTGCTGCCACCTGGCCCCTGCTACTTGAGGGTCTAATTAAAACCACTGCATTTAATTCGTCCAGCTGAGCAGCAGCACCTCCAGCCCTAAGGTCTGGCTCTAGCAAAAGGGCGACAACAAAACTCTTCAGAGGTGCTGGGCTCCCTCCCTCCATTTGTGTCTTATAGGACAGTGGAGGCCGTGTCCTTTGGGCCTTCCCATTGTGGAGCACTAGGTTTTACACAGGGTACCCACTCTAGCACTGCAATTTCCCTGAGCCTTAAAATCCCTTCCTCAACACTAAGCCAAGGAATATCAGGCATCTCCAAATCATTTTTAGTAGGCCATCTTTTGACAAATGCTTCATTCAACAATTCAAATAAACTTTTTGTTCAGGTAGAAGCTCTGCCCGCCCCTCCCACCACCAATCCAAACCCTGTCCAGACTCAGAAAGCTTGCAAAACCCCAGAGATGCTCAAGACCATGCCTACAGGGTAGTAAACAGTCTCTAAAGGAAAGGACACTCGGTTCTTTCATCTCTTCTCCTGTCTCCTCTCTGGGGACTGGAGAATCACCTTGGAGCATCTTACCAATAAACCTGGACTTTTAATTTGACTTGGTTATGTCAGTGGAGAGACTTAATATGGGTGTTCAGAAATCTTTCACTTTTCACGCCCTTTTTTTTTTTTTTCAAGACTGGTTTTCTCTGTGTAGCTCTGGGGCTGTCCTGGAGCTCGATTTGTAGACCCAGTTGGCACTGAACTTACAGAGAACTGCTGCCTCTGCCTCCTGAGTGCTGGGCTTGAAGGTGTTCACCACCAGCAGCAGCCTTATTCTTTGTTTTTTTGAGGCAAGGTTTCTCTACATGGCCTTGGCTGTCTTGGAACTCACAAGCTTGCAGAGTGACTCATGCCTTTAGGTCTAGCACCCAGAGAAGGCGGAAGCAGGTAGATCTCTAAGGTGAAGGCTGACCTGGTCTTCAGAAACCAAAAGCCAACAACACCAATACCACCACCAACAGACTTTGCCTTTATGCCTTGTCCTTGCCTCAGCCTCCTGAGCGTGGGACTACGGGTGCCTGTCAGCACGCCTAACCATACACACGACTTTCATACTGTTTGGGTCCTGGTGAGTTATTCCCTAGAACTGTCAGTTAGGGAACTGTGTGGGCTTTCTTTGCGATTAGATTCAGGTCGTATGTTCCAGGCTGGCCTCTGAACCTCGTCAGAAGGCTCACAGCACCCATGTGTCCTGTTACTGCTCTTGCACCAGGCGACGGTGGGAACCACAAGGTTCCTATGCTGTCGTCCTACAGTCTTGTCCTTTCTGATTAAGCAGTACCTTACGGGAAGATGCTCTGAGATGACATAAACATCCGCTTCCTGTCACGCTTCTGTTCCCAGTTTCAGCACACACTGGTGACTCTTGCCTGGAAGGTTTGCCTTGCAGTGGTTGAAAACGAATTTGTTTATTCTTTTTAAAAAATAACTTACAATACTTTGAACAAATCACACTGAAATACAAAAGATCAAGGAACTTCTACAAACTGGTCCAAGAGGTAAGGATGCTTGCTGTCAAGCATGATTATCTCAGTTGGATCCCAGGAAACCCACGTGGTGGAAGAAGAGAACTGACCCCCACATGTTGTTCTCTGACCTCCACATATACAGTGTGGTAGAAGCGTGCCCGTAAGTATACACAGACATACAAAATATAATAAAATAAAACAAAATAAAATAAAAATGATACCCCCAAAGTCATTCTCAAAGACGGGCCATAGTGGCCCGTGCCTTTAATCCCAGTACTTGGGAGGCAGAGACAGATGTATCTGTGTGAGTTCAAGGTCAGTCTGGTCTACATATCTACCTATGTCGTAGGACTGCCAGGGCTACATAAAGAGACCCCATTTAAACAAAACAAAATGAGACGAGAAAGGAAATGGACAACCTGGCAGTGGGGTGGCAGAAAAGCAATGTCTGCGTCTGCAGGCCTAGGAGCATGCTTCCCAGAGATGAGAGAGGTGGCTGCTAACAGCTCTGCTTCTATACAAATCATCTCCAGTGCTAGCTACAGGCGATGTTTGCATGCTGAAGAATCTAATTTTAGAACTAATCAGCCAGGAGTGGGCACGGCAGGAATCTAACCCAGGAGAATGTGAGGCCTCCTGGGGTCCAGCCTGTGTCTTCTCTTAAGACAGCCGAGGGTGAGCCTCAGTCTTGTGTCGACAGGAGAGTCTCGCGCAGCCCGCAGGTGAGGTTCCTGGTTAAACACACAACCCGCCTGCCACAGACAGCCTGCGCTGCTGACTGCTGCTCGGACAGCCTGCGGCTTAATTGGTGAACCTTGCGGGGGGAGCATGGTCTTTAAACCAGCTAAAACACAGGAACAGGTAGATCGAATCCCCAAAGCTCAGCTGGTAAGCCAACTTAGAAACAAAAGAAATAGGGCTAGAGAGAGGCTCGGGAGTAGTTCTGACCGCTCCTTCAGAGCACTTCTGTCTCTAGCCCACTTCAGAGCTCACAACTGTCTGTTAACTCCGGCTTCAGGGATCCTACACCCTCTTCTGGCCGTTGCGGGTACCTGTGTGAGTCTGTTCCCCTGCCCGCATATACACGTAATTAAAAAATAAATCTTGAAAGGGTGGACTGGGAGGGAAATACCGTTTCTAGGTGAGCTCTGGGTACTAGCAGCTCATAAAGCACCAGCAGCAGGCAGAGTCCTCCCTTTCGGGCCCAAGAGTGCACTCATGAGACCCATGGACTGGGGTTGCTGCTTCTTGGTTAACTAAGTCTGGCTGCTTCAAATACCTTTCCCTCCAAGGCGTTCATCCGCCCACAAGAGAATGCATACATATTTTTCGATACAGGTGCCTATGCTCAGGCTTTTGACCATCCTTTGGCTCACATCTCTTGACTACATAAACATTTTCAAACAAGTCAGGCCTGCGGAGGGCTGCAGAATCCAGCCTGACAGCAGCCCATTGCTTCTCCCAGAGCCACCAACTGAAACCCTCAAGGAAGTCCCTCAACCAACAGGGACTGAGAAGCTAATGGTTTCAAGGACACAGGTAACTTTCAAGCCACTGAGACTGACAAACACTTTCTGGTGAGCGACAGCACCCGGAAGACCCTAGGAATTATGGGACACAAGTTCAGAGCTGTCAGAACAGGAACAAATAGGCATCTGAGAGTCAGCGAGACATTAGGCATCGCTGGGAGCACGAGACAAAGGCCTCCTGTGGTCAAACTGGGAGACAGAAGCAAAATCTAACCTTTCCTTCCCAAATCCCTCATCACCCAGCCAGTCAGGACCTAGCCCTCTCTTTCACTCACGGGCAAAGGACTGTACCTGTCTCATCTCAGACCCCCAGTGGGTATGGTAACATGCCTAGACCCCTTCTTCCTGGGTTAGCGCTCCCCCCCAAATCATGCAAAGCCAAGGCTCCCCCACTCCCCTTCCAGGTCTCACAGTGTGATTTCAACAAGTGACCTCCTACTTTTTTCTTTGTTGTTGTTCTTTTGTTTTCTTGGCCTTAAGGAGAAGAAAATAAATAAATACAGAAAACCCAAAGCCCTTTGAGCATCAATGTCAAAACAGTCAAGATTAATGCAGAAAATTATAGCCGACTTGCTTTTCTGAACATTGCCGTAGCAACATGCCATACTCTCAGCATCGTGTTTTATGTGTTCCTTTAAACAAATATTTACTGGTTAGGAATGCTAGCGAGGACTCAGCTCACAGCCTGAAAGATGGAAGAATAGGAGTGTCATCCTCAAAGAAAAGCAAAGCAGACCCCTGTGTCGTAAACTCTCGATCCATCAAACTGAGCAGGGCCTGGGAACAGCGAATGTTTCCGGAAAGACAAACAACAACTAATTTTTATGCCCTGGGAAACATTAAGAAACAAAACACAAGAGGCCGCATGACCCAAAACAAACCACCAAGCCAGACCTTGGCGTAGGGCACATTTGGCAGGAGAGGGCGTAGCCTGTTAACGTGGGCTAACCTGAGCATAGAGGAGGCTGGGCCTACTAGCGAGGCCAACCCTGTGCTGAAACCAGGAAAGCGTAAAAAGGAATCCAGGCAACTGTTCTAGAATCCACTTCCAGGCCCAGTCTGGTGATAGACATGAGCCCTGGGTGGGTAAATTAATTGTGTGCCCCAGGAACTCACCGTTAAGATGAAGCTTCTGGTCCTACCCCTCGAGTCTGGTGGAGTCTACTCCTGGGAGCCCCAGCCTCGGAGCCTGAAGAGGAGGGAACGGCAGCCAGGAAGCGTTAATAGAAGCACGAGCGCAGCCTCAGAAGGTGGCGCACAAAAAGCTGGAGCAGGCTACCAGGGTGGTGGGGCGCCATGTCAGCAACAACAGTCGAGTGGAGGGACTTTCTGTGGAGGCCACTGCGCCTGCCTGCCGCGCACGACGTACCCACCGTTACAACAGGTGGGTTCCGTTCACGTGCTCCATTCACGTGACCCTCGGGCCACGCAGCCACGTGCCCGCCACTGTGCGCAGGTCAGATGATGCCCCCGCCGCTGGATTCAGCGTCTGGTTTCCGCCTGGCCTGCGTTCTGTGCTCGCTCTTTATACCAATCGGTGTCACCTAAACCCCCGCCTGGGAACAATGGTTTCCGTTTCACAGATCGGGTTATGGAATACTTGGGCTTGTGGGGAGAAGGGAAGGTGTCGAGATTTGAATTCAACACAGACAGTTGGCTTTCCGCGGTCTAATGATCCGATTTTTCCCAAGTTGAGACACTATAACTTGTGTGGACCCCATTAACGTTGACCCCGGTCTGCTTTGAGAACAGATCTGTTCTGGGTGGACAACTGTGTGGGCATGCGTCAACCCTTCAGATTCACATTCAACAAGCACTGGTTGAGCCCTGTCCCTGCTTCTGACATTGAACGAGGGCATTTACACACATAATTTCGGATTAGCCTCAGCCAGCTCTGTCTTCAGTGAAAATCCGTGCCCTACCCTGGTCTCTGGGCAGTAGAGCCACGGAGCCAAGCTGAGCTTTGCCAGCCTGTCTCGGGGACTTTAGCAAAGTCTGTTTCCTGAGGGAGCCTTCGTAGGTGACCAGGATAGGATGCGCAGGATTCCAGCTGCCCTGGTGTGCTGGGGGAGCCTTCTTGTTTGACCTTTATTTCTTTTAATGGACCAGTTAATTCTTCCGACTTCCAGTTGTCACGGGCATTTTTACTTTTAATTTAATTAGTTCTTTTTTGAGACAGGCACTTACTGTCTTAACAGGCTTAACCTCGAACTCCAATTAAAAACTCCAATCTTCTGATCCTCAGCCTCATGAGGACAGGGTTTACTCAAGGAATCAGACCCGTCCTCTCTGAATTCCTTATTGTTTTTTGGAACGCGCCTGCCGTCTTAAAGGGTTAGGCAGGTCCCTCCTAACGAGCACCAGTTGAAGGTTTAATAGAAAGAGACAGAACCAAAGGCAAAATGAGAATACTCTACAAAGGATAACTCCGTGGATGAACGGCTTCCAGAAATAGGACCGCACTGGCTTTTTCCAGCCCACCAGAGGGCGCAAATGCCCCAGCAGTTTTCAGATAAGAAACAAGCTCGAGGGCCCCCTACTGGGCCCAGAGCCTGGGCTGGTTTATGAGCTCCCAGCTTGAGCGCAGGGCTGTTGTTTCTATTGACCTGTCTTTCCCCACATCGCCCCAAATTTAGGGACTTCCCGTGTTCAGGTTTTGTGCCTTTAGGACCTTTGCATTTATTCAGGGGGTCCAGGGAAGAGTGGAAATGGAGGTTTGGTAAACTGAACGGCTTCAGACCTTGCCTGTCGTCCTTCCTCTTAGGATCTGCTTCCTTTGGTCCTGCTTTAGAGTGTTGCGGAGTATTTGTTTACCCTGCAAAGTTGTGTCTCTGTCTAATATGCATTCTGACTGGTTTAATAAAGAGCTAAGTGGCCAATAGCTAGACAGGACAGTACAGGCGGGACTTCCTGGAAAGAGAGGAACTCCGTGGGAAGAGGAATGTAGGAGCACAGGAGATGCCAAGGAGACACTAAAGAGGTTGGATATCTGGTGCAGAGTAGAGGTGACCGAGCTACGTGGTAGAACATAGATTAATAAAAGCAGGTTAATTTAGGCTATAAGAGCTAGTGGGACCAGCCTAAGCTAAGGGCCAAGCTTCCATAATTAATAAGAAGTCTCCGTGTCATTATTTGTGAGCAAGTTTATTACACTAGAGAGCCACATACATGTGTGCCCACACCTGCCTGGGGAGCCTAGTAGCCCAGGCTGGTCTGGAACTCACTGCACAGCCTAGGGTAACTCCCAATTCACTGCAATCCTTTCTCAGCCTCCCAAATGCTGGATTGATTACAGGAGTTAGCCACAACCTCTGGCTGTGAATTGATCTCTTGATCCAGTAAACAATTAGCTTTAGAGCTAAAGTTTAGGTCGAAGCAGGGGACTGTCCCACAGAACAGAGCTGAGCACTGCCCCTTTGTCCTCCCAGAGCAACCTTGAGCTCTTCTTCCTGCGTCTGTCCTGGGGCCGGGGAGTGGGGTCACTTTCCTCCATATCAGTATCAAAGGGTGTCCTGGGGTCTAGGCTGTCCTCTAGGTGCCAGTGGAGTTCACTGGTAGGAGCAATGGGGGAGGGGAGAGGGGTGGGCTTTTGTCTCACAACTGCTCCCTCTCACTGCTTTGGCACACACGGGGTGACGATTCCACTGTGCCCCGTGGGTCTCCTGGAGGACTCCGTGTGGCACCTAACAGTGGGGTAGGGGCTGACTTGGGCTGCTCAGCTGTCACACTAGACTCCTTTTGTTCTGGGAGATAAAAAATGCTGTAAATAAGCGTGGTCATCCGACAACGATATCGCTCCTGCTATAGCCAGGCCCAGTGCTGACAGCAGTTCCACAAGACCCATTTTGAATTTGTGGTGTCTGCATAAAAAACATTTCACTCTGACCTGAATGGGTTTTGGCTCTAAGCAATCAGCCAGGAATTCAGCCTCGGGTCTCATTTTCCTCAGGCCTCCAGAGGGTTCCTGGTGGTGGGCCTAGAAGGCCGGAGGAGCATTTACCCTTTTACCCCTGCCATAATTAAAAAGTTGCCCAGCACACACCTTCCACAGTGCCCAGGGACCCTGAGGCTACTAAAGCTCAGAGTTACTTCATACGCAGCAGAATTGAACCGGAAGAGCCTTTTGACCCCATTCCTTCAAGTTTTGTTGATTCTGACCATACCAAGGACAGTCAGTCAGACAGACAGACAAACAGACACACACACACACACACACACACACACACACACGACTCAAGGCAGAAATCATATGTGATTTAATAACCATCCTTGGCTTTGGTCCATGGAAAAGATTTAATATTAATTGCCTTAATATTCAGTAAGAATCAGTAAAACAAACACCTCTTCCAAATAAGGATATCAGTGGCTGACTTTAAAAAGATGCTTATAATTTCTGAATAGGTAACAACACAGTCACAGAGCTAAAACAAAAATTTAAAGCACTGAAAATCTGAATGCCTCCCTTCATAGCCCCCTCATGTCTACCCCTCAACCTTGTGCTCACAGAGATAACAGTTTATATTCATTTTTCCACATCCGGAATGGCCTTTTGCAAACTCAGAGATCTACCTCTGCCTCCTGAGTGCTGGGATTAAAGGAACTCAACACCACCACCCGACCAGAATCCCTTAAGTCTGTGGGGGAATGCATGCCATGGTAAGAGTGTGGTGGTCAGAGGTCAGCCTGTAGGAGTGAGTTCCCCCCTTCTCTGTGGGTTCCAAACATCAAACTCAGGCTGCCAAGCTGGCAGCAAGCAACCTTCTTGAGCCGTCTTCCTAGTCCCCATAATTCCCTTTTGTGAAAAGAAGCACATTGCATAGACCATGTCACTGTGCTTACACTTGCTGTGTTTTAGGCACTCGCTCTGCCATCTGCAGTAAATGGGCGGAAGTAGAGGACACCATGTCAAACGATGCTATGGGACAATGGTCTTTCATCCTGTCACTTGTATTATGTTTAATAAAATGCTGATTGGCCAGTAGCCAGGCAGGAAGTATAGTTGGGGTGACCAGGCAGGAATTAGAGGCAGGGCAATGAGAACAGGAGAATTCTGGGAAGAGGACACAGTTCTCAGTTGTGACCCAGCCACAGAAGAAACAAGATGTGACTGCCTCGCCGAATAAGGTACCAAGCCACGTGGCTAACATAGACAACAATAACGGGCTAGTTTAAGATAAAATTAATTGAAAGAAAAGTCTGATCTACGAGGCCAATTCTTTTATGATTAATGTAGACATCTCTGTGTTTATTTGGGACTAAACAACTGTGGGACCTGGTGAGACAGAAACCTCTGTCAACAAAGTGAGAGAAACTGAGCACAGAAAGATGAGCACCACAGGTTTCTTCTCATATGTGGAAGCTAAACAAGATTGCCCTGACAGTAAGATGGAGATTGCTAGATGTTGGGAAGGATGAGGAAGGATAGGAGATAAAGACAAGCTGGTTCAATTAGTGCCCACCATAAGCATGTGTGGGAATATTACACCACAGGGAACCCTTGTAACATGTACAATTAATACATTTTTTCCTTCTTTTCCTTCCTTCTTTCCTTCCTTCCTTCCTTCCTTTCCTCCTTCCTTCCTTCTTTCTTTATTCTTTTCTTTTCTCTTTAAAGACAAGGCCTCACTGTAGCCTTAGCTGGCTAGGAACTCATAATGTCAACTAGGATGGTCTCAAATTTACAGATGCGCGCCTGGATCTGCCTCCTGGGCTCTGGGATTAAAGGAGTATGTCACTCCTTAATACATCTTTTTCTTTCTTTTGGTTTTTCAAGACAGGGTTTCACTGTGCAGTTCTAACTGTCCTGGAACTCGCTGTGTAGACCAGGCTGGCCTTGAACTCACAGAGATCCGCCTGTCTCTGCCTCCCGAGTGCTGGGATTAAAGGCATGCGCCACCACTGCCCAGCTCCTTAATACATCTTAATAAGAAAATAATAATGATAATAATAAAAAGTAGACCTAAGGCACAAAGTTATTGTAAGATGGTTTGCAGAGTGGCAGCTCACAGAAAGTGCAAATGATCAATCCACAATCGTAAAGGTTCAGGGAACTGAACATGGCATCAGTAACAGCTCTGCAGGGCTTATTCAGCCAGAGGCAAACAGCAAAGATCCTACTGGTGGGACCAGGAGTTGTTCCAAAGTTTTGGGCAAATAACTCCACAGAGTGTATTAAAATGTTTCAACCTCGCTTTTTTGATCCCAGCTACAATGCACTGCTGAATGTCACGGAGGCAAAAAACAAAAACAAACAAACAAAAACCCCCAACAACAACAACAACAACAACAACAACAAAACCCAAAACTCAACAAAAACAAAACAAACTAGCAATTTGGCCTGGTGTAGTGGCACATTCTGTGTTCCCAGCACTCAGAAGTGGAAGGTAGAAGAGTCAAGAGTTCAAGGCTAGCCGGAGGTACAAAGTGAAACTGTCTTAAATGGTTCTCAACCTTCCTAATGCTGGTAACTTTTAATACAGTTCCTCATGTTGTGGTGATGCCCAACTATATAATTCTTTTGTTGCTACTTTGTAACTGTACCTTTGCTGGTGCTATGAATCAGAATGTAAATATCTGATATACAGGATATCTGGTATTTGACCCCCCCCCCAAAGGGGTTATGACCCATAGGTTGAGAACCACTGGTCTAAAACAGAAAGGACTGGGATGTAGCTCAGTGGTAAAACACTCACCTAGCATGGGCGCTTGGTCTGGGACATCCTCGGCGACTATGGTGCAAACACATTGTCTTTAAAGTGCTTCTGACTGAGCTGGCTTTGAGTCTTTTGAAGAAAAGAATCCTCTAAAACGAAACCTTAGAAATCTGAATATTTACCAGGGGATAGCTGGAGCCATTCCAGCACATCTATAAAGGATATTATGCAGCAATTATATGTTAGATATATATGTTTTTATTTGCAGGCATGTCCACAAAATATTCTTTAAATTTGAAAAGCAATGTATCACTCATTTGTATTTTTACCTCACAAGCAAATAAATTTCATGTATTTCTTCTTTATACCGATTCTTTGCATATATTTAGGTAGACTGGAACCAATGAGTTTTAGCCAGAGGTGATGTTGACCCCCAGGGTATATATAACACAGGGCACTGACGGAAGAGGCTTTCGTTGTCACCCTGGAGAATGCTAGGAGGCAGAGCTTCCAAATCCCACAGTACCCGAAGGACAACCTCAGCTCCCACTGCTTCAAATCCTTTCCTGACCCAGATTGTTAATTGTGCCGAGGCTGAGAAAGTTTGGCTTGGAAGGGGAGGCCCAAAGAATAAATGCCAAATTGACAACTTTTTCCTTACATATTTGTGTTATGTGATTTATTACAATGTCCTTTTATTTTGAAAACTGTGGTGGTTTGAAACAAAATGGTCCCCTTAGGCTGATATATTTGAAGGCTTGGTCATTACAGGGTGACTCTATTTGACAGGGATTAGGAGGTGTGGCTTTGCTGGAGTAGGTGTGGCCTTGTTGGAGAAAGTGTGTTACTAGAGTGAACTTTAGGGTTTTAAAAGCTGAAGCCTGTGGATCCAGAGGTTGAACTCTCAAGCAACTTCTCCAGCACCATGGCTGGCTGCATACCACCTGTTCTTCGCTATTATTATGACAATGGACTAAACCTCTGAAACTGTAAGCAAGCCCCAATTAAATGTTTTCTTTTATAAGTGTTGCCATGGCCATGCTATCTCTTCACAGAAGTAGAACACTAAGACAACTAAAAATTACCTTATAAGGTAAGAAATACTATTCAATAAAAATGGATTGTTTTGACCAAGACAGTGATGGAACAGGAGTTACAGGTTGTTCCCCAAGGGGCAGAGATGTCAGTGGAGGGTGGATAGAGCTGGAGGCAGGAGGGGATGGGAACACCCTGCAGCCTGGTCCTGAAGCTGGTGTTATGTACACAATCTTGTGTGTGTGTGTGTGTGTATGTGTGTGTTTATGTGGGTGCATATGTATGCACATGCCTATGGAGGCCAGAGGTTGACCTCATGATGCCCTTGATTTTTCTCCGTTTTTTTTTTTTTTCAAACATGGATCTCACCATTTTGGCTAGAGTGGCT